TTTTGGTACCAGGGATCGAACTTGGGACCTTGTGCTTGTGAGGCAGGCACCGGAACCACTGAGCTAAATCCCCAGCCCTACCTCTACTTTTTTTGATGTGATGGGAATTGAATACAGAGGTCTGTACATGCTAGGCAAATGCTCCACTGCTGAACTGCATTCCTCATCCTGACACCTCTACTTTTGCAAGTATGTTAGCTTTTTCAAGTTTTAACAATTACTTACCAATAATTATTTCAGCAGCATTGATCAAAACAGGTGCAAATCTTGGCTGAGACAGATTCCTGCAAAATAAAAATTTTGTTTAATGAAATTTGCACTCATTGTTCTCCCAATTCTCAACAAAGATCAAACTAAAAGTGTTTTTTATTGGGTGAGATAAAGGACTTGAGATGCAAAACAGACTTCACAAACACAAAAGATACCTTATCAAAAAATTAAGAACACGACTAATTTCCTTCTCATCCCGACCTGCCAGGGCATTTGCAAGGACTCCTCTTCGATTTAGCTCCTTTATGATGGAAACTGTAACTTCAGGTGTCTTTATTATACAACTAGGCTAGAAAAATGTTCAAAGTCAACATAAGCAGAAAATAGCATAAGGAAAAATATCACTGACTCTAAAATACCACAGTTCCAAGTCATGGTAATGCACAAACTAAGTACTAACCCAATTCTTTCAAAAATTTAGCTTGGAAACAGCCCAAATGCCCATCAACTGGTGACTGGATAAATAAATGTGGATTTTTTATAAAATGGAGTACTACTCAGCTATAAAGAATGATAGAGACATTTATAGCTAAATGAATGCACATTGAGGCCATATAGTCTTAAGTGAAATAAATAGAGGACACACAGGTGTAAATACTGAATAGTTTTTCTGGTTTGAGAAACTGAAAATGTAAATGAGGACCAAAATGTATGATAATGTGAAATAGGAAGAAAAGCTCCAAAGAGGAGGGGAAAGGGGAAGTGTGGGGGGGAGGGGGGAGGGAAAAGGAAAGAAGGGAGAAGAAAAACTATGAGGAAAGGAAAAAATGGGAACAAAGTGTTTATAAATAGGGAGGGGCAGAGGGGTTATAGGGAAGGCAGAGAAATGGGGAAAAAATAAGCATCAAGATATATCACGTAAGGGTACAAATTCCTAATAATGAATGTCATCATATTGTATACCTAAAATGTACCAATAAACTTTAATAAATTAAAAACAAGTGCTTTTCACTCACCTCAAGAACTCTATCAAGTGCTTTAGAGATCCTAAAATTTTTCAGATCTCTGTCATATAATTCTAGGTGTTTCTTTGCAGGCTTGTTGATCAAAATGTCATCCTGTATTGAGAAGTAAATTTATAAAGGAAAAAATCAGTATCCAGAAAGTTCCATTCAAAACAAAATTTCTCACATTGAAGTGGTATTTTAAAAACTCAGGGTGTCTCTACACTACATCACAGATGTAATGTTCACACGCCCATAATCTCAATTGAAAACAGAATAATCTGCCACACTATTGTTTTTTTTAACTCTTAGGATTTTTCAACTTACAATTGCCTCAATACTGAGCAAAACAGACTCATTTCAACTGTTTTTACACAGCAGGCAGTGTGATTGAGTATAAAGAGAAATAAAACAAGAATCAGAAATACTAAATCAATCAAAATTCCCTTGTATCTCAATCTTCTCAAATCGCAAATGGAGACTTTACTGGCTGGGTGTTTTTGAAGATTAAATCAGATACTGTGTGAAAGATTGTTTTGTATGTGGTAAAGCACTGTACTGTTATGCTATATTCGGGGTAATAAATAAAGTGGCCCTTATTCTCCATTATTCTTCAATTATGGCTCACTCTAGCAATCCAGAGCCAATTCTGATGGACCAAAGAGTGAAATAAAGTTAAGTAGCATGTGAAATGTACTTCCCAATAATGTGCAGGGATGAATGGCTACTCTAAGAAATGTCACCTTTAAAAGAAATATGAGCAACACACACTTACCCGTTGCTTCAAGTAATTTTTTCCTTTAATAAAGGTTCGGTATGCAGGCCTCCTTCTTCTTGGAACAGATTCCTTCTTTGCTTCAGATTTCCGATGTTTAACACTTAGAATTCCATTGGTCATTCCAACCACTATGGTCTCATCTTCATGCTAACAATTAGAAAAACAAGTTAGTCTATTCCTAACCAATAGCTTATAGTATCTTTACTTCAAATTAACATTTATGCTGTATCCATACAATCACCAACAGTTCCATTCTAATATATTCTGCTTAACAATGATCTATGCAAAGTGCTACAGTAAAGTCGTTTGTTTCCTCTACGATACCATTAGGTTGACAGAAGTTATACTTGTAAACTATCACTGACAAAATCTGTATAATGATACATAGTTAATGGCATCTTGAGAATTTTTCAGAATATTTTTTCTCCATCTTCTTATTAAAAAAGGACTATATAGGGCCGAGGATTTAGCTCAGTGGTTTTGCCGCCTGCTGCGCAAGCGGCAAAGACCCGAGTTCGATCCTGGGTACCAAATTATGTAATGTCAAAATATCCAATAAAATTAATGCTCATAACACCATGGGAAATAGATAACATTTAAAAAAAAAAAAAAAGGACTATATAGTGACATGACTTTCTATAATCTTGCCCCCAAAATTATCTCTTGATTAGTTTTTCCTCTTCCAATTCAGATTTCTGTATAACATATTCAAACATCCATCTGCACAAATGTGGCTCCTTGTGAAACACAATAGTACAGATTTTAGAAAAAACAGCTGACGAGGGAGCTACTTCATTATTCCTTCCTTACTCCGTGTGCGCGCGCTCAGAGAGCCAACTTGCCTTTCTAAAATATTATAGCCCCTTTAAGTTAAATGAGTTAGTCACTACAACAAGTCATACTCCAGCATTAGTCTTAACTCAAACAGCTAATTTAAATACAAAGATAAACCCTAAAATTCCATTTTACTTTCACTTAACAGGCAAGGTTAGTGTTAACTTTAAAAAGAACTAAAGTACTTACTGCAAGTGCAAGACTCAAAATTGAAGCTGCATAATCAAAACTGTGGACTACTTTGTAGGAAGTTGTGCTATATATTTTCACCTTCCTATTAAAAAAGAAAGTACTATCAAAAATCATTTGCAGATTCTATTTTTTTAACATGGAAGTGAAGAAAAACAATAATGTAATATTAAAAAGTACTTCATCACTGAATCCCTTAAAAATTGAACTGTATTATGACACTAACCAGGTTTGAATAAAGACTTTGACTTGCCACTTACAAAGAAACCAAAGGATAAACCAGGAACCACTATCATCTGAAGATAAAACTTGGGAGGAAGAGAAGTATCATGAATGTACACTGAAGTCAAGAGAGCAAGGTCTCATGGTCAGTACTATAGGTACTTTGGTCCAGAGCACACTATGTTGGCAGGGCTCTTCTGTGCACTGGAGGACAGTTAGCAGCTTCCCTGGCCTCTACCCCAACACAACAGTAGCGACAACTCCAAAGTTGTCAGAGTCAAAAATGTCTCCAGATATCCAGGAGGTTCCCTGGGGACAAAAATCACACCAGGTTGAGAATGACTATAAAGAGAGCCAATTTATATTTCATTTTTTAAGGAGACATCTAAAAAGATCAAGTACCAAACTGCACAAATGCTATTTCAGAAAATTGTATATATTTACATAATATATTCCTTTGGATTAAATATCTTCTAACTTTTAAAATACTTATACCTTTTATTATACATGATAAAAACTAAGCCCTTTCCTAACTAGGCAAAAAACACAAAGAAAATATGGAAATAAAGTGATTAACAATTGATGAATACAAGCAAACTCTACAACTACGCCATAGTTCTAGATACATGTGGCTACTGGACCCTCAAAAGGGGCTACTGAAAATGAGCAATTACATTTATTTTCATTAATTTAAAAATTGAAGTATTAATTATAAAAAACTATTATATCATAGTTTATGTTTTAGGTGTTTGTTTCCAATATCTATTTTACAATCATTACATACTGAAATATTCTATATATTAAATATTTTATTTTTGCATTACATATTACACTGAGTTAACCTTGTTTAATGTGGCTACTAAAACATTTTAAATTACTCATGTAGCCCATACTGTATTTCTACTGGGAAGCACTGTTAAGAGAACATAACAAATGGAACACTAAGTACCTATTTTAAATACCCTACTAATATATGGAAATGTTCACATGAAAGTTTTAAATTTTAAAGAATATAACCTAGAATATATTATATATTAGTGTATTTTCGTATTATGGGTATAGTCAAAATAAATTTTCAAAACAGAATATTTAATCACCAGGGTTTTTTTGGTACCAGGGATCGAACTCGGGACCTTGCGCTTATGAGCCAGGCGGTGGCACCACTGAGCTAAATCTCTGGCCCTTTAAATCACCAATATTGCTAAGGTAACTTATTTTCTCAAGCAGTAAACACCTAAACACTGACGATGCACAAAAAAAATTAAAATGCTAACCTATCCAGTGAGCCAGAAAGTAACCTCTGTCCAGAGCTGCTCAGACATAAACATGTCACAGTTTTGTGATGATTTTTCAGAGACACAAGCAACTGTCCTCCTTTTAACATGTCCCAGACTTTAACATAACGACTTCCTATAAAAAGAAATAGCATTAGTTTGATAGTCTATCCACATATTCAAAATTTTAAAGACTTAAAAAGTATTCTTGGCTGACATTCCATAGATCAAAGGTAAAGTGACCGATTCCACAGCCAGACCGCCTGGTTTGAATCTTGGCTCTACTGCTTACTGAATGTGTGACTGATAGTTTATTAACAGTTCCTACCTCACAGAGATGATTAAATACTTTCTTATTTTTACATGCAAAGAACTACCTAGCAAAATAAAAAGTATAAGTGAAAAACATTTCCAAGAAATGCCAATAATTGCTCAAAAGAAATTCTGAATACCATGGAAATGAATAATACAGATCTTGTTTCCTAAATATTTTGTGACTCCCCAGAAAACTCAAAAACTTTCCTGTAATTTCATTCCAAGAATTGGAAAAATCCTTTACAGTAATTTAACCCAATGACTTAAAAAAGAATTTTTAAAATTCAGCATCTTCTTTCAACAATATATCAAGCAGAAGTTTAGTAGAGAAAAAAGGAAAAAAGGGTGGGATGGGGGTAGGGGGCAAGAGTGATGTTCTTATGTACTGTCCCCTGACCAGGAAACAGGGAACTAGAATCACGGCCCCCTCCTTCCCTTTGCCCTGTGGCAGCCTATGACAAGGATTATAGTTTGAAACCACTGATATGGTCCAACTTCCCTCATTTTCAACGTCTAGAAACACTGACCAAAGTCACACAACTAACTAGAGGCACAGTGGAGATTAACATACAGGTTTTGTTCTCTTTGTTCAACTTGGCCTTATTTCCATTTCTCAAAATAACAGCAAGAAAAGATACACCTGACAATGATATTGACTTATTTAAACTTAAACAGGTATTGAGTAAAGAGTATAAAATAAGACAAGCCATAAAGAAAGACTACATACACTACCATGTATGTTATCAAGTATATATAGTACCTACAAATTCTTCTAATGCCAACATATTTTTGCTCTGACAAATAAGAACAACCAAGTAATTTATTCCATGATTATGAAAATGTACTGTGCTAAAATTAACCAAAAAAACCCCTTGTTGTCATTGGATGAAAAATTTATCAAGCCCTTTTTTTTGCCCAAGAGTCACAAAGAATGAGATAAGTCTGATCTAAAAGAACCTGTTGCAGAGGCAGCTGAAAATTTCTTAGGACAATGGTGGTGAACTTATACAGCATGCAGCAGCAGCAGCCCATTGGTATCACTGAAAGCTCTAAAAGGTTCCCCATCACTGTCTTAGGAATAAAAGTAATATAAAATCTCAAGTTCTGACATTTCAGACTTGTCACATCAATTTTCTGTGAACAAATTAGAAATTTTCATTTATTTTCTTAGTTGTAAAACAGGGGGAAAATCAACTGTCTAGGGCATTAGAGATAACATATATACAACAGCATGGCGCCGTACTGGGAATGGTGGTATAGGTCTTCAATCCCAGCACTCAGAAGGCCAATGAAAGGAGTTCACAAACTCAAGGCCAACATGGGCTACACAGCAATTTACAGGCTAGCTTGGGGTACAGAGAGGTCTTGTTTCAAAACCCTCCCCAGCTCAAAAAAAAAAGAAAAAATAACTGGCTCGGGTTAGGTATTCAATAAATATACTCAATAAATGACAACTATTTGTCCTACTATCAACTGTTTGTGCAAGAACTTAGATATGTAGGGCCGGGGATTTAGCTCAGTGGTTTCGCCGCCTGCTGTGCAAGCGCAAGGACCCAAGTTTGATCCCTGGTACCCCTCCCCCCAAAAAAAGAACTTAGATATGTAATTCAAGTGCCTACTGATGAATCCTAAATAATAACTGACAACAAAAAATCAGATTCAAGGCGAACAATATTGGTAAAAGCTATCTTCATAAGATATACCTGAAGACACCAGAAGACCTCCAGAGGGAAAAAGCAGGACACTCTCCACTGGCTGCCCATGCTCAACAGAGAGAACACTCTTGCTTGTTCGTGCATCAAACATCTTCACAGTATGATCATATGATCCTAAAACATCAATTTTTGTATTACAGTATGTGAATCTGGCTGTTTAAAACAAAAACTGTAACTGTATGTATATCCAAATTTTTTAAAAAGAAAAATTTTAGATGGAATTTATATATATATACATATATACATACACACACACACACACACACACACACACACACACGTATATATATT